CTGCCACTTCCTGCTTGTGTGGCCTTGGGCAGATGACTCAACACTGCACCTCAGTTTCCCCTTCTGCAGAATGGGGATAACAACAGCGTTATCTCATGAAGTTGTGGGGACGATCAAAGGGGTCAGTGTGTGTGAAGAGCGTTCTACCACGTAAGCGCTGCCTGTTGTTATTTTGTGAGGAGTAAAGGAGAGGGCGCACACATGCATGTGACTCTGGGCCGGGGTGGGGCGCCGGCTCAGGCTGCTCGTTGTCTTCTCTTCCATGGTGGAGCCTGCCCGTCCTCTTCCTCGGGGTCCTGAGATTGTATCTCCAGATCAGAAGCTGGCCCGGGGCCTGGGGCCTGCTGAGGGATTTCCTCATCTATAGAGGGGGATGATGAAAGTGCTCTGAGGGTGAGCTAGGCTAAGCTAGCGAAAGCCCTTGAGCAAGGCCTGGCATACGGGAGTGCTCCTTCGGTGTGACTTCCTCATCTCCCTGTCCCACTTAGGCAGGGCCCTCAGGTCGCCCCAGCATGCCTGGCACTTCTTAAGTGTATGCCAGGTGAGAGATTGGGGACACACGTGAGTGCCCTAGCCCTGTCCTCTCCAACCCCCATGCTGGGGGGGCATGTTACCCACGGTAAAGAGACGACATTATACCATGGCCGTAATTTACATCCCAGTGCTGACGATTGGTGCTGTGGAGAAGGGTGAGCTGGGAGAGGCTTCAGCTGGACAGGATGTGGGGTCCTGTGAGCTGGTCCTCTGTGGGTGGTTGGGGTGCTCTGGGCAGAGGAGGCGGGCCGGTCGTTTGTGAGTGAGGCATGTGCTGAGAGAACATGGCCATGGGTGGAGGGCTGGCAGCAAGAGAATGTCATAGAGGTTGGCGGGTTTGGTGAGGGACAGGATTGGCTCAGGAGCCCGGGTGAGAGAGGTGGAGGCTTAGGCAGGGGCCATGGAGTAGAGAGGTGGATGTTGAAATCACAGTTCCTATTTCTGGATGCCTTCTCTGTTGTAGGCCCTAAGTCAAGCTTTTTGCTATAGGGTGCGTGTGCACTCCAGAAAGAACAGAGAGAGAGAGACAGAAAGCGAGAAATTGCCCCCACCCCCGGGGGGGGATGGTCATGCTGCAATCCCTTCTCCTCCATTCTCCTCTCGGGATCTTGGGCACACGCACACGCACCCTGCATGAGTTTAAGCTGCCAGGTCCTGGACTCAAACCGCGGTCGACTACGTGGGAGTCCAGTGACATAGCATTATGCTAACTGCTGGTCCCGAGTCGAGCATTTTATGAGTTGCCTCATTGAATCCTCATGATCCCACAATACAGGAGGGACCTTTTGTTTATGTTTTTCAGATGGGGAAACAGGCTCAGAGAGGTGAGGTCACATGACAAAGCCCCACACTAGAGAGTGGCAGGACTGGGACTCACCTCCAGGTCTGTGGAACTTGGCCACTGGGCTCTGCACTGCCTTTGTGGTGACCAGCCCTCGGTGGCCTTGCAAGGGTGCTGCTCCTCCCAGCCCCCTGCACCCCAGCCCACATGCCTACAGGAGTCAAGAATGTGGGCCCAGAGGGCTTGTCTGGTCTTGGAAGCGGGGCCCAAAGGCCTTGGTTGGTCTTCCCTAGGTCTTGAGTGGAGAGGATAGGGTTGCCCTTGTGGCAGAAGGAGGAAGGGTTTGGGTGGGAGGAGGAAGTGGGTGGGGCTGAGAAGTCCTCTGGGGGAGCAGGGGACCTGACTTGCCTTCTACTTTCTGTTCTGCTTGTGAAAGGTGAAGGGAGCCCATAGCATGGACTTCCCCTCCACTTTCCTCAGCTCCCAGACGGGCTGAAGGTGGCCCCTACCTCCCAGGGCTGATTGTGCCAGCCCCCAGAGGCCACGTGCTGGGCACAGCAGAGCTGCCTGTGGCTGGCGTTCTCGGAGCGCTGAGCACCGCGGACAGTGCTAGCCAGGTCCTTTCTTTGCTCTCTTTTTCTTTTTTCTTCTTTTTTTAATTTTTTTGAGAGATTTTTGCTGTAGGACCCATGTGCTCACCAAAAAGACAGACACAGAAAGTGAGAAATCACCCCCCAGGGGGGATGGCCACGCCGCAATCTCTTCTCCTCCATTCTCCTCTCAGGATCTTGAGCACGTACGCACACGCACCCAGTGTGAGTTTCAAGCCACCGGGTCCGGGACGCGAACCGCAGTCAACTACATGGGGGTCCAGTGACATAGCCATTATGCTAACTGCTGGTCCCCTCCTGGTGTGAGGTTCGAGTTTAAAGCTGCTGGATCTGGGATTCAAACTTCTGGGAGTCCAGTGCCTTAACCACTATGCCACCTGCTGGCCACCCCAAAAACATTTTTTTTTCCTTTTTTTTGGGAGAAGTTTTTTTTTTTTTTTTTTGCTATAGGGTGCATGTGCTCGCCAGACAGAGACAGAGAGATAGAAAGCGAGAAATCACCCCCCCAGGGGGGATGGCCACACGCAATCCCTTCTCCATTCTCCTCTCGGGATCCTGGGCACACACACACACACGCCTGGCATGAGTTTAAGCCACCGGGTCTGGGACATGAACCGTGGTCAACTACGTGGGAGTCCAGCGACATAGCCATTACGCTAACTGTTGGTCCCTCAAAAAAAAAACCCCTTTTAACAGCAGGGTTTGTCCCCTGGTTTAGGCAGGATCCTGTGCCCAGGGAGGTTGTAACTTGTCCCAGGCCACACACCACACACTAGGGCCTAAGGGGTCCTGGTTTGGAATCAGCTCCATTGACGCAGAAGTCTGTGTGTGGGGCTGGGAGTTTCACTGACCTCTGTGGAACACTGCCACTGCCTGGCCTTGTGACCCTGTGCAAGTCCCTTCACTTCTCTTGGCCTGCATTTCCTCATCTCTAAATTGGGAATAGGGGCCAGCACGTGGCGTAGTGGTTAAGATGCTGGACCTCCCACATGGCTGATGGTGGTTAGAAAATCACACGGGTGGGGCCAGCAGTTAGCGTAATGGCTATGTCGCTGGACTCCCACGTAGTCGACCGCGGTTTGCGTCCCGGACCCAGTGGCTTAAACTCACGCCGGGCACGCGTGCGTGCGTGCCCAAGATCCCGAGAGGAGAATGGAGGAGAAGGGATTGCGGCGTGGCCATCCCCCCGGGGGGTGATTTCTCACTTTCTATCTCTCTGTCTCTCTCTGTCTGGCGAGCGCACGCACCCTGTAGCAAAAACCTCAAAAAAAAAAAAAAGAAAGAAAGAAAATCACATGGGGCACATATATGTGCATACCCAAAATCCCAGGAGGAGAATGGAGAAGGGATTGTGGCGAGGATTTTGCCCTGGGGGCAGGGGATGATTTTTCACTTTCCCTCACTGTCTTTCTCTCCAGTGAGTGTACGTGCCCTATGGCCAAAACCTAAAAAAAAAATTAATAAATTGGGGGTGATGGGGCTATCAGATGGTGTGGAGATTAAGGTGTTGGATCCCCATATGGCTGACTTTGTGGTTCTAGTCCCCGATCTGGTGGCTTGAGAAACATGCCAGGTGCATGTCCTAAATCCCAAGAGGAGAATGGAGAGGGATTGAAGTGTGGCCATCGGGGGTGGGGGAGAGGTTTCCCACTTTCTTGACTCCCCTCAGTGAGTGTACTTACCCTTATAGCAAAAATGAAGGAGAACAGAGGGTGGGGCCAGTAGGTGGCATGGCCGTGAAGGGTGTTGGACTCCCACATGGCTGACTGTGGTTCGAACCCTGGAGCTGGCAGCTTGCTTTCCTGCTTTCCTTTTCTCTCTCTGTCTCTCTCTCTCTCTGTCTCTCTCTCTCTCTCTGCCTTTCTCTGGTCAAATTAAAAAAAAATAACAACAGATAAAATTAAATAATTCTTTTAAAAAATAAAAAAAATATATACTGGGGGTGATAATAGGGCCTGCCTCACTGGGTGGTTTGTGGGTGGAAGGAAGTTACGTGATTCTAGTAGTGCCCCCAGGGGTACTCGGCGCTCCCTCTGAAAGTGCTGGCTGCTGCTGTTTCCTGCCCCCAACAGATCCTCTGGACAGCCTTGGTTGGGGTTGCTACCAGCCTCATTTCACGGGTGGGAATTCAGGAATCCGGGAGGAGAAGTAACGCTCGCCAGCTCACGTGTAAGGGTATCATCTCAAGCCCCGGGTCCTGACTCCTGGGCAGCACTGCCACCCCATTTTGGCAGATGTGGGTAGAGTTGTGACATAAAACTCACTCAGACTGGCATAAGCAAACAAGGGAATGGATTGTAGCTGAGGTGAACTCAGGCAGCCTCTTTTCTCCACCCTGGCCTTGTGCAGGCTTCATTCTGTCCTCTGTTGGCACAATGGCCGCAGCAGCTCCAGGCTTGTAGCGGAGCGGTCTTTGGGAGGAGAGCACTTGATTTCCAGTAGAGCCTGCACACCTCTAGCCCTGAGTCCCCTGGGACTCGTCAGACCCTGTGCCTCCTAGGTGCTTGCTTGGAGGGAGGGAGGGACGTGGGTGGTCCCACTTGGATGTGCCTGAGGTTGGGGTATGTGGCTGGGGCCAAAAGGCAAGTCCCTTAGTTCACGCACTGGCTCCTCCACAAGTGTGTCCCTGAGCACAGGCTGAGTGCCGCAGGGTCGTACAAGGGAACCAAGCCAGGGCCTTCCCTGGAGGGCTCCCACCGAGGGGAGGCAGGTAAAAAGCAGACGGTCACCCAAGTGATAAGTGCCTTGGAAAACAGGGTGTGGGGAACAGGGAGTGGTGCCTCGGGTGGATCTGTCAGGGGGCCTCCCTGGGAGGTGGTTTAGAGCAAAGCTGTTGGAGGTGAGGGAGCAGGTCCTGTGGCCCCCTGGAAGCGGACGCGAGGGCGGGGCTGATTTGGGCTGCCTGGTGGTTGGGGGC